CTTTCTACAGATGTGTAAATGGCACAACCAATTTTTACAGGTAGATTTAATTAAACCTGTGTTTACGTGTAGGTTTGAAGACAAACTGGTAGCTAGTATCCTTTATTCTGTGCTTAATTTTGACCTTCCTTGTTGTGTGATCTTAGAAGTTAGTTCTCTGTTTCTGTTCCTCATTAGTAAAATGTGTGTCATGATTTTTTGTGTTTCATAATTGTGGGATTTGACCATAATAATGAGCAAATTGCAGAAGGAAGGTCTGATTGCGCTGTGTCAGAAGGACACCAGGTAGCTTTCTGCATTGGACTTAAGTGTAACAATTGTTCATGGAATCTGTTCATCATCATTAAAAGTGATTGAGGGAAGAAGGGTAATTTCAGCTGCTGGCAGCAGAAGGACTTAGTGAGAAATGATTCTCATCACTCTAATTTGACAGGTTTCCTGTAAGGAGCTGTGACAGCATTGCTGCAGTTAAAGCTGAGAATGTACATTAGCTAGAACCCAGGAGCACTTTATTTTACAGGAAAAAACCCCAAACAACCTAAAATAGAGGAATTTAAAAGCTAAGGTGGTGGAATAGAAGAAGGCCTGTAACCACTGAATCCTTAATTTTGCTGAGATTTAAGGAGAAGTCAGAGTCCTTCCTGAGTCATTTCTGCAGCATTCTGTCAGAGGATTGTGTACAAATGATCTCAAAGGAGATGAGGAATGTGCACAATTTAAGCTTGCTTATCATTCCAGATACAGGTGGTACAGCAAATGGACTAAACAAAGCACAGGACAGCACAGCCCTGAACAGGTGAATTAAAGAATAAAGTCATTGCAGTGTGTGAGGTCATAAACTTGATATGTGAAATTGTACAAATATGCACATGCTTAGTGAAGAGATATTTACAGAAATAGGAAAATGGTGGGTGGATATTAAATATAGATGCAACAAGTTTTAAAGAAAGGTAGATATATTTTACATTAAATGATTGCAGTTGGGTGTTTTTAATTTGCCCCCTAAATCAAATAACCTTCAGTTAAGGTTTTATGGCAAACTCTTCAGGCTAATGTTAAACTGGGACAAGATGGTTGCAATGGATAGGGATGTCCAAACAATTCTGCTTTGGGTTGAGTAAAATCTGCTGATGGGTCCTCAGGGCTGGTACCAGCCTAGTGAGTGGCTCTGAGTGCCTGTGCCTTGCACTTCTCAGGTATCTCTGCTTTGAAAGGACTTCATAATTTCAGAACCAACATGCTGGATGCAGGCAGAGACTCCTCCAGAGTTCTGTTGTATACTTTGAGGAAGTCCTTCAAGATGCTTTGCGTAAATGTAGCCCACATGGTGTTTAATTTGATTTTGTGATTTTCTTTAAGGCAGTACTGCAGATACACTGGTGAAGTTTTAGCTAAAAATGCTACCTCTGACCTTTTTCAGTAAGGTCCTATAGGTTACTTTACTTATGTATTTTTCATTTCATTCCAGAAAATACTGCATGGGTGCCCACTGGGTATATGTGTATGTAATTTGACATTCTCTTTAGGTCTAGAAAAGAAAGCCTTGCAATATGGAAAATTCCTTAGAAACCTGAAAATATTTACAGTATTAAAAGAGGTGACATACAGTTTGTATTCATCTGAAGAAAGTTCAAGGGATGTTCTTGAATGTCAGAAGTTCCTGGAAGTGAAAATAACTGATGATGTTTAATGCTAAATCTTAGTGTTATTAAAACAAAATGCACTGATGCTAGGTTCTGCTTTTTCTCTGTGCAGTGTAAAAGCAGTGCAAGGTCTCATAACACCTCAATATATTTGGAGGCAAGGCACAGTATCTTTGGGGAATTACAGTATTGGAACTGGCTCTGTGCTTTAGTCAAAGGTAAGGAGTGGTCAGGGGTGTACTGCTCCAAAGCACACTGAAGGCTGGCAGTGTGTTGCCATTTTACTGCACTACTACAGGCTGACTCTTGTGCTGAAATTAAAGTAAAACAAAAGAAAAAAAGCCCCAAAGCTGGTAATTGGCTAGGATGATGATAGTGTGAGCTCATCCCTCAACCTCAGGGAGGGAAGCCTGCTTAGTCAGAGAGCCAGCAGTGCTCATCCAGTGAAGCTGCCAAGTGTGAGCTTTCCTGAAGCATAGTCATGCTGCAACTTGAACATTTATCACTGCAGCTTAAACTATGGACTATTATTACTAGGATGACATAAAAGATAGTTTTCTTCATTTTTTTGTATATAGAAAGAACTTCTAAAGAGCTAGTTTTATGATGTTTTCTTTTGCCATCTAGTACTGGATGCACCTAATCCTCTTTTGTTCTTGGTGATTGCTTAGTTAGGATATAGTTATTTTTGCATGTAACTGGGATGTTTAGTAATCATGTCTTGTTCAAAGTACCTTAAATCTTTTTATTCCTTGGTAATGTCCTTTTTCCTATCCTGGGTCTTTTGCTGAAGAACAGCTTTAGTTGTACATTCTCCTTTTGCTTTAGGTTGTATCTGAACTTACTTCATTTTAAACTTTGCATCTTTTTATCTCTTTCCCAGATCAGTGCAGTTCTAAACTGGTCTGAGTTAAGTCTTGTAATGCTGATGGCTTCTTACCTAGTAATAGAAAAAACAGAGCCAAAGTCCATGCAAGTGGAGGTTTGGAAAGCTGTGCTAGTGCAATGCTTTCTCACTAACCTGAGAATCCTCTTACTAAAGGTCTTTTGGATACTTGTCCATGTGGTAGCTGCAAATCTTCAGTCACCACTATTAAGAACAGCATCAACTGGGGTTTTTTGGGAGGGTTTTTTTTAATTTTAATTTCTTTTATTCTTCTTTTTAAGTTTTTCTTTTAAAGACGAGTTGAAAACATGGACTCTTGAAGTTGAATGCCAGCTTTTTGGCAGTTGTTGTTACATTTTTCCTCAAAGTGTAGAAAATCTATAGCAGAACTTCAGAAAGCTGTCTGGCAGGTTAAAATTTGATCTAGTGATAACATCATCTGGTACATAGAAAACCTTGCATGGTTTTTATCAGAATTATGTGACTGATCAATATAAAAGCAAGTAGAAGCATCAGTGGAACGAAAACTGTTACAAGGTTGTCTAGTTTGGAGAGAAAAACAGCTTGTGATGATTTCAGAAAGTAAGACAGTGTCAGTAACCACTGTTAGTAGTATTACCTCAGGTCTTGTGGTTTAGCTGTTAGCTCTGATACATTTGCAGCGCTGCAAAAAGCAAGGAGAGAGGATAACATTAATGCTTCTGCGAGGCATAGAGCAACCTTTCCACCTCTACATTTTTGCTACCAGGGATTCGTTTCCTGCTGTAAGATGTTTTTTCCTCTCCTAGTGAAGTTTTGAAATAGGAAAAACTTAACTTTATGAAATATTCGCTTGTGTACTAGTTGCAGTTTAGAGAGAACTTTCCATCTCACGTGTCCATAATTTCTCCTAGAGTTATTTTCGTCCTGGTTAGAGAGGCCTGGAAAACGAGCTGAGACATTGTGCTTAGAGGAGGGAGGAATGCCCTGGCTCTGTGATACAAGGTGGCAGGAGTCCATGATTTGCAGCCAGGGTGAAGGGGGAGGCAGTGTGGGGGAACAGCTATGTAACAGCCTGAGGAAGTGACTCACTTCGCTCTGAAACACAGTCCCATGGTTCCAGTAGCACTGAAGCCAGACTTGGCTTCTGAGGTGGAAGTTGTGTAAGTTAATTAAAACTCTTTGTCTTTTCCTCCTCATCATGTTTTCAACCCCACCTCAGTGTTAAATTCTGCACTGTACACATATCTGTTTAGAGGAAACTCAGGTTACAGGACTTCAGTGTGCTATATGAGTTTATTATTTTTCATTTTAAGGAGGGATAAGTGGATTTCAGGTTTCATTGGAGTGGATGTGTGTTGGTCTTACCTGCTCCGCTCAAGAGAAACTTGATCATATAGCAAAAGGGCTGTAACAAGAATAAGTTTTTTAATTTGTTATAATCTTTCTGAAATATGTTGGCAGTGTGAACTGAAGTGCAACAGAGTGCATATTTAGAAAGATAGAGACTTGCACTTAACAACTTAGTGTTAGTAGTACTAGTTTAAGAGTTTGATTAAATTTAAAACTAAACATCTTAAAGTGTTTTAAGTGTCCTCGTAGAAATACTAGTGCATGTGTTAACACATTAGACCTTAATCCTGCAAGCTAGGCTCTTAAGAGTTTGTGGATGGCTTTTTTCTGTGCAAGAAGAGGGTGAGAGGGTAGAATTGTCTCAGACTGCCTTTTCCGGAAAGGCTTTCTCCTATTATGTTTGTAGCTCTACACTAACAGATACTTGCCAGTGTGTGGGAGCAGCTGTAACATTCTGCCTGAGCTGCTTTTCGGTGAGTGTGACCTGAGCAGGAGCATTTGCTTTCAGCTGTTGAAGAAAACATCTGCAAGAGCAACAGGTAGAGCAGGCCCTGTCTCCAGTGCTTGGATGTTTGGTGGGCAGTTCTTAACTGGAAAGCAGCTGTGATGATGGGGAGGGGAGCGGGGAGCAGTGTGACTGATGAGCTGCTGCCTGACCCTTTCCTTCAGAACACTGCATTGAGCATCTTGCTGCGTGTTTGGCTGCAGCCTTTGTGTACGTGTGTGTGTTGTAAAGGCTTTGAGAAATGTGGCCTTTTGGCAAGCTATGAAGGTTTTTTTGTTTTGCGGTTTTGAGTTGAGATTAGAAACAGATTATTCTGGAAGACATAGAAGTAATTGGCCAGATGAGAGGGAGTTTAAGAGAAAAACCTTCAGGATGAGCTTGAGCGATTAGTCAGAAGTCTGTGTGCAATTGGGAGTTGCATCATGCAAGTACAGCGTGATATCTGTTTTGTAAAACTAAGTTGTTTTGGTTTACATTCTTGTAGCAGGTCAGATGTATTGTTTCTTACCTGTATTATGCTGGTCTTCATTTCCATGGGAAACAGGACAGACACACACATTGTTGCTTATCGTGTGAGCGTTCACAGGCCGGTTATGTCTGGTGATGATTCATTGCAATTGCTTCTCTATTTCAGGACCTGTAACTAAGTGGACCCTACTGACCTCTGAACCACAAAGTACAGGAGTGAAAAGAAGTGGGAGAAGCACACACAGAAAAAGGAAGTGAATGCACTTTCCTCTGGACTTCTTTCCTGCCCTTTATTACTAAAACTGAATGGAAAAGAAAGACTTCTGTGCCTTTCCTCCCCCAGCCTTAGGGATGGGTGGATTGTAAATACTATGCGTGCGGCCGGGAGAATAGGCTGAACCATGAATCTTCAGGCTCAGCAAAAGTCTTCAAGCAAGAGGACTGGGAAACGAGTTGCCTATTTTAACGAGCAGGAAATAGGTGTGTTGTCAAAAGAACCACAGCAGCAGCTTAAGGAAGGACAGTACTATGGTCACGGAGGGAATATACCGGTCTCCCAAACTATGGAGATTCCTCACACAGGAGGATTAACAAGTGCACCCAACAATGTTGCTTTGATGAACTCTGTTTACAATCAAGATAGGGGAGAATCAATGATGATGCCCCAGTCAGTAACAGCTGTCAAATGGCAGAATTCACTGATGGGAAACCGCTTGCCAGAGAGGGGAGACAGCCACTGGCAATCTCCACCTTCAGTGTGGAACCACAGTATGGTTTTTGGGGGCAACCCAAAAGGACCCCACTCCAATGCTGGTGCTCCAGGCTTCTATGGCCACCCAGAGGCCCTTAAAAGAAATCAAGAGAAAGGAGTGTTCGTGTCACAGCTGGACTTATATGGAGATGCTGTCCAGCAGATGATGTCCCAGAAGGCTCAGCTGGAACAGCAAGCCCTGGTTAGACAGCAAGCTCAAATGAATTCTTTTCATCAAATGCAAAAGCAGCAGCAGCAGAATCAAAGTCTGCCATTGCAGCCTTTCCAACTTGCATTTGGTCACCAAGGCCAAAAGCAAGGTCTTCCTGAGTTGTTACATGTCTTTCAAGAAGCCCCAGCTTCTTCCAGTCCAGCATTTACTGCTCAACAAAAGCAGCAAGCTCTTCCTCAGCTACAGCTGTTTGAAAATTTCTATCCTCAGCAGCAGCAGCAGCAGCAACAGGCTGCTGCACAAACCTTCGGGTTGCAGCAAACTCCTTCCATAGCACAGCCTCATGTGGCAGCTGCAGCACCTCAGCATCACATGGTGGCACACCAGTTTCAGCAAACAGAGAGGAACCAGGAACTATTCAAGGCATTAACAGAGCAGAATCAACAGACTGTGCTACCTCAGGCCCAGATTCCCTTTCCAAGAAGGTCACGGAGACTCTCCAAAGAAGGTGTCCTGCTGACATCTGCAGGAGAAGTGTTGACTTCCAAGCAGGCAGAAGAACAACCTGGCAATTTATTTCTGCATCACTGGCAGTCGCATCAGCAAGAGGTCCCATTACAGCATCCGTCTGAATCACTGGCCCACAACAAAAGTGGCTTTTCGCACCCCAAAAGAATGGATCTGGAGGAGAAGGATGTCCTGGTCGATAGTGAGCAGTGCCAGATGGAAACAGACAGACAAGCCCCAGCCCAGAATGGTAGAGATGAGGAGAAACAGGCAGCAGCAGCTGAAGAAAACACTCAGAGAACTAATGATTTTCAGGGAGTCAGAGGTGGTGTAATCCAGAGTACCCGACGGAGACGACGTGTTTCTCAAGAAGCCAATTTGCTGACTTTGGCCCAAAAAGCTGTTGAACTGGCTTCTCTTCAGAATGTAAAGGTAAGGTGTACATCCTAACCAATATAGCACGTTTTAGATTATGAAATAGGGATGAAATGAAAGGAATTTATGTTCATATGCAAGATAGGATGGTATCTTGAACTGTAGAGCAAGGACAGCTCTGGAGTGGAGTCATGTAAGTTACTGTAGTTCATAGATGTGGAGAGCAGAGGTTTAGTGCAGTGAAACCACCTAAGGGCAGTTTTATTTCACTAAAACTGAATGTGATTTTAGCCCAGGCCTTCAAAATATGGATGTTTTCAGTTTAGGCCTCAAGGTGTCAGAAATTTTGAGAGACAAGTGTAAGCAGTGTACTTGTCTTTTTACCAATTTAACGTTCTCTTCCTTTTCTGTTAAAAAGCTGCTGCTTACCTGCCGGTTTTTCAGTTTCAGCAGCTGAAGCGTTTCTAAATTGTGCTATCTAAAAATCACATAATGCACGTTCAATATTTCCCAAATATTAAAAGCCTGAGAAAGCCTCACTTACATGAAGAACTTATACCAGGCATAACAAAGGTCTTTCTCTTTTCTCAGAAACAAGGCAGCATCTTGTTTCTGAGAATGACCTGAGAATAAAGTCTGCCTGTAGACTGTCTGTAGGGCTTGATGGGGAAGAAATCTAGTTGGCTGATTAGGTAGTTTACCTCTCCTGTCCTTTTGGCATCCCATCAGTCTAAATTGTACAATATATATTCCATATGGCAAGATGACAGAGTTCAAAATTAACTACCCTGGGGGGAGGCAAAGGATTTTTGGAGTTGGGTGGAGTTTTTTGAGGGATTGTTTTTTGAAGGTTTTCTTACAGTTGTGGTTTGACTAATCTTTCATTGAGTGCCTGTCATGAGAAGTAACCATACACTTTACCTTAGAAGCTTTGTTGCCAAAGGCTGATGAAATACAGATGTTAGGGCACGAGCCACTTTTACCTACAGTTTTGCCACTTGTGTTGCTGCCCAGTCAGACAGCAAAGGGAAGGGTATTTTCTTCCTAGTCTTGTTCTCATCATCATTTTTTTTCCTAGTCTGTTTGTGCCTGGTTTTTCCCCATCTCTTCCTTAGAGGAACATGCTATTTCAGTGAAAAACAGTACTAAAAAACAATGTGGCGAGTATCCAATGCGCCTGCTCCATCTCCTGCGCAGCAGGCAGCAAACAGTAACTGATGGTTGATGCTGCCTTCAATCCTTTTGCTCTTAACTCCAGTTGACCAAGCAGATTTGATAGAAAGCTAGTAGTAGTTAGTAGCGTGGTCTGTTTGCTCATACATTTCCCAGCCATTGTGTGGTTCTATTGCAGAAGGCCTACAGTTCCCATTGCACTCTGATCACCAACAGAGTGGCAACAAAAAGCAAATAGAGCATCTAGGAAAAGGCCCTGAGAGGTGAAGCAAGAAATTGGCCATTTGAAGGCATGTCCGCTTGCAGCTTGATTCATAATGTAAAGACAAGAGAAGTGCTTTGACCGATGCTCTTTTGTTCTTTGCAGTTACACACGCAGCTTGTTTGTTTCCATGATGGCATTGAGCAGAAGAACTCTATGTTTAAATCTGTTCAGGCCTTCAGGATAAGGTTTTGAAAGATGTTAAAATTCTTACCTGAGGTCTGATTGATATTACATCTTTAAAGTGTTGGATATCATGTAAGGGAGAAAAACAAGATGTTTACTGGAGAAAAGTGATCTGCTTCTCTTATTAGTGTCTTTCTGTTACAAACAACCTAGAAGCCTTCTCTGCATGATTACATGAAGGGTGTGTGGAAGGCTGTAGAGTTAAATTAATGATAAAAGAAGATACATTCATATTTTGAACAAGTTGTTTGAACATTCCAGTGTAGGTGTGTGTATCTGACGCAGAAATAGTATTCTGGACAGCAGTATCTGTCTACATGCAGTGTTACAACTGATGCTTTGCACTAGAGCTGCCCATCAGCTGTGCCTGCTTTTTTTCAGGTGGTGCAAGCTTATTGCTGCTTACAGGCTGCAGTAAATTCTCAACTCTTAGTTTTATGGTTTCATTTCACATATAACTGTTCTATGCAAAAAGGCAGTGTGATTTGTTGTCTTAAATAGTGCAGAAAACTTTTCTCAAATCTGAAATGGCCATCCTAAAGGATGTCTGCATTTAAATATGTCTTTATGGAAGGGAGACAGAGCTTTTGATTACCTGGCCTCTTTGGTAACTTTGGTTACCAGGGCACCAGCTGCTATACATACAAAAGAAAAAAACCGTTTTATTTGTGGAATTCTAGTTCTGGACTCACCTACAAAAGAAAAAAAAAGTTTTATTTATGGAACTCCTTCATGGATGAGCTTCCTTTTTAACTGCAGAGGGAAGCTGCCTCTACGTGATGCAGAATGATGGCAGAAAGCATTGTGTGGGCAGGTGTTTCTAAAAGCCTGATGTAGTTTCTTGTCTGATCACAGCAGTGGCCTTAAAACAGCTCTTCCAGCTGTTGCAGTTGAGTTTTGTCTGTGAATTCTAAATTTTTTAGGAACAACTTGAGGGATAGGCAGGATCAATGCCAGAACTTCTGATGAGTTTCCTGGAGGATCTGCTAGTTCATCCTGCAATATTTATGCAGGAGTCTAAGTTGCAAGTTGCACTTGCTGGAGTTATCCAGCAGACCTCCTGCCCCAAATTCTGCAGCAGGGATGCTGAGGTAGCTGGAAATCCCCTTGCAGTTCTAAAACTGAAGGTCCTGTCCCTTGTTCAGAGACTCCTTTCTGCTTACCTCTAAGAATAATCAAATAGTTGAGAAACTGTTTGGGGATCTGAAACAAATAGCTCAATTCCAAAATTAGTCATGTCCCCTCATAGTAAACCTTAGGTATGTGTGGTCTTTCAAGACCAGAAAAGCTCTGGTGTGGACCAGAACATCTTTAAGGATGTCTCAACTATTAATATATTAAGTTCCCAGCCTTTTCTCAACCTTTGCTACTGTTCAAGTCTTCTCTTCCTCTTTTCTGTTGAAGGGGTCATCTCTCGCGTCATTGAGGAGGAGAGTTCCTTTGCTGGTAACCTCCCAGTCTTGAAAACAAAAGGAGCATGGTTAGTCGATTGTACAGTCAGAGAAAAGTGACATCTTGAGTGTGACTAGCTGCCATAATTTCCTCTTTGTAGTCAGGAAATTAGTTCATGACTCTTGACCTACAGAGATCTGTGTAGCTCACAGGAAGTACCTGAGGTTTGTAGATTGGTCAGAATTGGTGCTTGTGATTACTTGTTTTATTGCAGTACCCACAAAGAGGGCCACAGTGCTTGCAGTAGTAACAGCTACGTCAGATGGATAAAAAGTATCCTGATTAAAACCCAGACTTCTTCTTGACAGTGGTCTGAACAATGCAGCGTGAATGCACTCCAAACAGTGGTTTAAAACTACCTGCTGCAGATCTTGGTGTCAGGAGATGACCCCGGAGCTATTCCAGGTGTTTAACTAGGCTTCAGTAATAAGGTGATAACAGCATCAATTTCCCTGATGAATGGAGGCCATTCAGAGCAGCATGAAGCCAAGCTGCTTCTCCAGGTGTCCCTTACTACCTTGAGGTAGTGGTTTCTTGTGACGTGTCTGTCAGCATGAATGCCGTCCAAATCCAAAATCAGTAGTTTTATGGGAAAGTACAGGTGCACGTCAACAGCCTGGAGTGAAGGCAGATCCTCGGAGCTCATTAGTTTCTCCTGAAGCACAATCTGGGATAGCGGAAGCCACTTGTGGCTTTACAGTTGTGTGTTTCATCACTGTGTGGTAGGGGCAGACATTTGCAGTCTCTGTGAAGAAGCAGTCAGACTTCGAAACTGCAGTGTCATTTACAGGATAAACCTTTCTGTGCTCACTTAGCCCTGCTCTAATAAAAGGTCTTGTAAGGAGGCAGTCCTGAATCTTCTTGATATGGTAGATTTTATGTGCTCAAGCTTGGTACCTGGCTTATTTTGAAGGCTTAATGTTTTCCAGGGTGGACCTACTTGCTCTTGAAAACAACGAAAATTACCATGACTCTCATTTGGAGAGCACTAACCCTAGGCTCTGACTGATGCATATTGTGACAATACGGTTGTGCTTCCCTCAATATAAATACAGTATCAAAATGGGACTTCAGCCTAGTGTCCTTCTAGTTATCGTGGATTGACTCTTCATGGGCCAGCTGGAGCATGTTCTCTTGCTCAGCAGTGAAGCTGAATGACTTTATTCATCTGTGACCACAGTGAAATGACTGGGAGTGTGTCTGAACCCTTAGGACAAAACCTCTCATGTCAGCTTTTTAATCAGGATCAGGTATTCATAATGACACACAATGGGTTCTGTTTGAGGGCTTCAGTAAACCCGTGCAAAATTTTGGAAGTCCGGGTTGGAGACCTGTTGTCATATCTGAGAGATTATGTGCCTTAGTTTCTACCTAAAAAACACAGCTGTTCAGGTAGATTTCTCAGTACATTGTGGCTCTGATGGAGGATGACTTTGCATATCTGATCCTATCCAAAGGCTTCCAAAACAGAGCGTGAAGGTGGAAAAATGTTCTGAAACACCAAAAGGAGCATCTTCTACAGCTTCTGCATTGTACTTCATCAGAGCTCAAGAAGACATTTTACATCCCTGGAGAGAAGTGTTTTTGAAAGTTATATTTAACATCTGGCTTCCAAGTGAGCTGGCAAGTGCTTTAGAACTGAGAGTGAAATGAACATGTTGACAGTAATTTGAAGGACTAGAAATCAATGATCTCTAGCAGTACCTAAAGCCATTTGGTGTTAGGGTATTCATGTGTTTATCCAGTAACTCCTCCTCCATTCTCATATCCTTGGAGCTCGGTGTTCTAGGGTTTCCGTGAGTAAAACACACATGGAAGCTGTAATATCAATGCCAAAAGTGCTGCCTTGCAGTTATACCTTGTTGATTCTCTGAGCAAAAGTCCTTCATGCTCAAGCCTGGTTAGACAACAAAACTCAAAGGCTCAAGTTATAATAAGAAAAATTTCTTTTTTTTTTTTCCCTCTAAGTCAGAAAAAAAAAATGCAGGAAAAAGCTAGCTCTGCTTTTTTTTGGTGTGAGAGATTTAATTGAAATATTATCATGGTTCAGTCTTTCCTGGAACAGAAATCCAATACTTGAAATTAATAACTGCAGCTTTTGATCATTACTAAAACTGAACAACCTTTGCTGGAAGTTATACAGCAGTGCACAAATTTATCTGGAAAATAAAATGTCAAAAACGTATGTACTGAAGTGATGAAATGATTCTTAAGAATGACGTGTGTAAATATTCTAGCAGTTGAGGCTATGGGCAGTCCTCAGGTAATTCTGTAAAATTTTGGTAACACTCTGAAGTATTCTTTTTCCTTCAGTAATGTCTTCAAATTCCATTTCAGCTTGCAAATTGCATTGAGAAACTTGATAAACTAAGTACTACAGAACTTTTTAGGAATCTATTTTTCTTCTCAGGAATTGGATAATTCAGAGGAGAAGAAGAGTGTGCTGGTAACAGCTCCAGGACCTACAGCTGCAAAAAGTGTTGTGGAATTTGCCAGTTCTTCACCAGCTCCCAAAAAAGCCCGGGAGGACAACAGCCTTGTGCCTCTTATCATTCCTGTGTCTGTGCCAGTGAGAAAAATTGACTTGCAGAGCCTTGAAAAGGAAAAGTCTGAGGATGGAAAGCTGCTGAGAGGCCAAACAAACGATCGAGGTCCTTGTGAACGTAAGCCTTCTGTGATAGTCACTCGGAGGCGATCTAATCGTAATACTAACGTGGAAACCTCAAGTCAGGTACGGGTAGAATAAGAAACCAAAGACGGGCCAGATCTGTTAGATTTAATTACACAGTTTTTAAGCATAAACTTTTCTGTGAAAGTAGTTTGATCTCAGAGCTTGAACTTGGAATGTGTGTAGTCTGGGGATTTTTTTTTTCATCATAATATTGCCATGTATTTGGGCATTGCTGGCTTTTCATGACCTACAGCTAATGCTTTGCCTCACTACTAAACAGTGTATAAAGCCATATGGGCAATAATACTAGATTAATTGTCTGTGCCAAGAGTGCTTTCTCCATACATACATGCTCTTTGTACAATTTATTAGTATCTCTCTATATGAATAAAATCCAAGGTGAAGATTCTCGTGGCGTTGAAACCTCTTACTGAGGTTCTTGAAGGTTGGCACTTGTATTGGTAGTGAGTGGGTTGATTTTTTTTTTTTTTTTAGTTTCCTCTCTTCTATCCAGAAGTACAAGGTTGTTCAGATGTTGGAGAAATGGCAGGAATCTAAGGAAGTTTCTCTCAAATTAGATGCTTGACCATCTAATAAAATATTGTTACATTGTCTTCTGTTCTCTTGCTGCTATTTGATATCACCCTGGTATGCCAGGATTCTGCTATGCTTTTGTGTCCTCTTTTAAAGTTACTATAAAGGTTGGACCAGATATATGTGTAGTTCTTGTAAAATATAACTTCACAGTCACTCAGAGCTAGTGCTGCTACCTAATAATTCCTGTGTCCATTCCATTCCCTGTCTTCTTCCTCCCTCTTTCCTTTTGTGCTTATTATTGAGACACCCCCAAAGTGTCCTGTCTGGATTTTGAGCTGCCACGAAAGTGTGTTGTCATCTCTCTGAAGTTTTTCAAATGACCTGAGGTTTTAAAATTAAAGTATGTAATTTTTTTTTCTAATAGCATGAAGATGCTGTTCCAAAGGATGAAGCAGAGGGCTTTGCCCGAAAACCAAAGCAGCGGCCAAGACCCGAGCCACTCTTCATACCACCAAAAGCTGGCACCTTTATTGCACCCCCTGTTTATTCTAACATTACTCCATATCAGAGCCACTTACGGTCACCTGTCCGTCTGGCGGATCATCCTTCAGACAGGAACTTTGAGCTACCTCCTTACACTCCTCCGCCAATCCTTAGTCCAGTCAGAGAAGGATCTGGGCTATATTTTAATGCTATCCTCTCTACAAGTGGTCACTCGGTTCCACCTCCAGTGACACCGAAAAGTGGTCACAGAACTCTTCTTAGATCAAGTAAGTTTTTACTTTATCCTTCCTTTCCTGGGTAATCTGTGATTAGGAACTGTGGAGTAATAGGGGGAAGATCATGCCTTTAGGGGAACTGTGGTTATGTGGAACTGGGGCTTCTTAATGATTGTCTGGGGAACTGGGATGGAGAAAATGTGTTGTTGGGGGTGTTAAGATTCGTTCACAAGCAATATGCAACACCCCCTGCTGACATTCTTCGGAATGGAGAAGTCGGTTCCTCTGTAGCACCTTATCAGTATCTTCAGCTAAGGGGAGGAAGGCACGTTCTTGGTCGTGTTAAACTCCTTTAGCATGTGGCTACCTTTTCTGAGAGATGGACAGCTCTGATTAGATTTTCAGGCTGTGTGAAATGTAAATCTCAGATATGAAGGTGAGCTGTCTGAGCAGTTCTTTTCTCTTTGCAGATAGTTCAGAAGTGACCCCTCCGGTTCTTACAGTAGTGGGGGAAGCCACCCCAGTCAGCATTGAACCGTAAGTACACACATAGATCCTTAGCCTTCCTTTCTTCTTCCTAAACCTTCAGGCTGTTCTCTGTACAACTGATGTATCTGTTAAAAGTATTAAAGCTATTCCTACTGGTGGTTCAAAATATAAGTTGTCTTCATTAAAAATTACTCTGTACAAAAAATAATGTTTGTTGGGAAAACGTTGTAATTCTGGAGATAATAATTGCTTTCTATTACTGCTTGTTTGTCCCTGGCTGAAATACTATTAGTTAACTAAGGGTCAATCTGTCCTGTTTGGTTGTATAGGGGCACTTCTTTGTATGCTGTGTTTGTTTTAGAGTGGGAAGATAATGCTCCCTTAGAGGAGGGACCAAATATAGTACGGAAAACTGTAGTTAGCTCTCACATGAACTGGTCAGATCACTGTTTATCCCTGTGGTGTGTTGTAGCTGAAGCACAACTAGGAACGCTTCACTCCCCCCAGGTGAGCTCCATTGAAAGCACTGCAGCTGGTGGCATATGGGGCATGTGCCCTGAGCTAATAAACCTTGTTAATCATTTTAGCTGTCTGTGTGCTGGGAAAGCTCAGATGTGAGCTCCCAGCAGCGGTAGGAAACACAATTTGGAGATACTGCAGCTTGTGTTGTAAGCTTAGGCTTGGGGCCAGTCCTGCTAAACCTGAGCAGAGGAGCAAATGTCTCTGCACAACCTTTGCAAATGCTCTGAGAAGTGTTATCAGCTCAAGCTCAGTCCTGCAGGACTATGCCAAGGTAGTTCCAGTTCATTATTACACCTAGTTAATGAACTCTTGCAAAATCTAATGGTGGAGATGCATGGCATGGAGACACCCATACGGCATAGCCACCCACGTGGCTCTGCGTCACTGACTGTACGGTGCGGAATCTCCGCTCTGCCTCTGCAGTGTGTCCTGTAACATTTGAGATATTTAACTCAAACTCTTTCCAGATAAATACAAGGCTTATTTTGCTTTTTCTTCCAAAATGGCTTATATTTTAAAAATGGACTGGAGCATATGCTGACAGTTTATGTTTTTCTTGGCCTTTTTTCATTCTGCCTTCCTGTTTGAAGCTCAGTTTCCTGCATTTGTGGTAGGAGGCTGTCCTGAGCAAGTGTTGCATTTGCGAATGAACCCAGTTTATTCTTGTCACCTTTGCTGAAATCTCCTCTAGACTGAGCCCATTCGTGGAAATAAGCACGTTTGGTGTAGTTTAAATCTGTTTTAGAAATGGCTTAATTAATCTTTTTGCTATTGGTTCATTTCACACTAATCCAGGGGAACTTCTTGGAAAGATTTTTGTTTCTCTTCTCCCCTTCCTCGTGCCCCCCTGTTTTGATCTTTGAACTCTCTATGGTGCAATTGTCTTTGGCTGTTGGTTTAAATTGCTGAAGTTAGTGGTACAATGTTAGCTGTGAATTCAGTTGCGTGTGAAAATTTGCAGACGTGTTCCTGGAAGTTTCAAACCATAGTAACTTAGTAATGCAAGTTCATTTCCTTTTGCCAAAAGGGAGTTACGTGCAGAATTGTCTTGCTGTCATCTTAAGTCTTACTGAACAGAAGCTTATGCAGGTAGATAGCTTTTAACTTTTAACCATGATAAATTAATAAACTGGTGTCATTCTGTGTTTGGCAGCATTGTTGTGGTCAATTATGTAGACGTATCTTCCTTGAAGAAAATGTGGCAGGAAGCACTTTTTTTTGTAAAAGAAAAAAAAATGTTTAATTTGATTTGTAGTTGACCCTAATTTGTGATTACCCAATGTAGTGTTCTTAATTGCTTGTGCTTTCCCAAACCTTCTGCTAATACTTCCCAAAAGGTCATTTCATTGCAGAGATTTGGAATAGGAAATGTGATAATGAAGCTTAATTCTTTGAGAAGTGGTACAGCAGGCAGCTGGTGCCACAGATCCTTGTGTCCTACTGCTTTTGTAATTCATTTGTGTCAAAGTCCTGAAGCTACCCCTCAGCTAGGCAGCCTTAAATATTGCTGTGGTGTATCAGCTGTTAATCCCCTTCCCAATTCACAGCCTCAGTTCAGGATGTCACCATACTCAGCTGCCCAATGGGCATTGCAGGAGCACCGTCATTGCTTACAGGCAAGAACTCTTGTACTGGTACCTAGGCTTCACCAGCAAAGGAACGGTGGAATAATGCTTGAATGGACTGCTGGAGATCCTCTGATCTGCTCCCCTGCTCAGAGCAGGCCCAGTTAGATCAGGTTGCTCAGGTCAACTCTTGCAGTAGAATGCCGGCTTTGCTTAGGCACTGCAGGTAGAAGGTGTAATTCTTAGTCTTTGCTAGCACGGAGATATCATTCTAAGTTTAGTTTCAACGTAAAAAGTAACTTTTGATAGCCTTTCAGGAAGGCCCACATTCTTTCCCTCCAGCTTTTTCATTTGTGTCTTTCCTTCTCACAGGTAAAGTCAGAGGAGTCTGTGTCTTGGGACACAAAATCCCTAAAGTTGCCCAGTGTGGTTAACAGTCTTTTTATCTCTCTGTAGTGTGTAGTCGGTTGTAGTCGGATGCCAGGTACCCACTAAAGCCGCTCTCACTCCCCTCTGCAACTGGACAGAGGAGAGAAAATATAACGAAGGGTTCATGAGTTGAGATAAGGACAGGGACAGATCACTTACCTATCACTGTCGCAGGCAAAACAGACTCAAAGTGGAGATATTAGTTAAATTTATAACTAACAGAATCAGAGCAGGAAAATGAGAAGTGATTACTAGTCTTATAAACACCTTCCACCCACCACTCCCTCCTTACCAAGTTCTACCTCGTCCCCACCCAGTGCTGCAAGGAGATGGGAAAGGGGGTTACGGTCAGTTCATCACACGTTGTTTCAGCTGCTGCTCAGAGAGAGGAGTCCACTGTGGGGTCCCTCCCACGGGAGACAGTCTTTCATGAACTTCTCCATTGTGAGTCCATCCCATGGGCAGCAGTTTTTCACAAACTGCTGCAGTGTGGGTCACTTTTCTACACAGTGCAGTCCTTTAGGCACAGGCTGCTCTACCATAGGTCCCCCACAGGCCCACAGTCCTACCAGGAAAGTCTGCTCCAGCGTGGGCTCTTCTGTCCAAGGTCAGCAGATCCTTGCCAGGACCCTGCTCCAGACCAGGGTTCCCACAGATTCACAGCCTCCTTCAGGTATCCACCTACTCCAGCACGGGTCTCCTCCACAGGCTGCAGGTGGATCTCTGCATCCCTGTGATCCCTCATGGGCTGCAGGGGCACAGCTGCTCCACCATGGTCTGCACCACGGGCTGCAGGGGCCTCAGCTCTGGTGCCTGGTGCACCTCCTGCCCCTCCTTCTGCACTGACCTTGGTGTCTGCAGAGTTGTTCACATGTTCTCACTCTGCTCTTCTTTGACTGCAATTTTCATTTGCACAATAGCTTTTTTTCCTTCTTAAATGTGTTATCACAGAGGCATTACCACCATTTCTCATTGACTTGGCCTTGGCCAGTGGTGAGTCCATCCTGGAGCTGCCTGGCACTGACTCTGTTGGACATAGGGGAAGCTTCCAGCAGCTTCTCACAGAAGCCACCCCTGTAGCCTCCCTGCTACCAAAATCCAGACCACAGAAACCCAATACAAGATGACAGCAAAGTGTCAGTTTTCAGATGTCATCCCTTCTAGGATGGATCGTAATCCACAACCCTTTCCTCCTCTGTGAAAGTGCAGGCCATAACAGTAAGCGAGACTAATCACAGTGAACAAAGACATGAATGCCTCCTCTGCAGTCCGCCACAGTGTGATGAAAGAAGGGCTGGCTTACCAGGGTGGTTCTTTTGCTTAGTTTTCTAGCCATGTCGTCTCAGTGTTGCATGAAATCTCTTGCTTTTTAGTTTTAGTCTGGATTGTGCTTTTTGTGTCCAAAATGAATAGGACAAGAGAAGGAAAAATGGAAAACATTTTCAACTGCTTTAGTTCTTCCCTGGCCATGGCCATGATTTACCTTCAATAGGTATTTGGGATAGTGTTTTTGGGGAAAAAGACAGATAGTATATGGCAGCCTGTTTTAAACTTCCTGCTACATCTATCACGCTGGATGTCAATTTGCCATCACCTACTGAAAATTAGCACCAGTCTGTGTATCTAGCAGATGCTGCTTGTCCAAGTAGGAATCCCACCCTGCCGGAGCTGAGTTGCTGCTGAATGGGTGATGAAGTCAGAACAAGTGTATAGGCTAGTTAACTTCTGTATCTCTTTGTTTACATGTTCATCTTAAGTAGATCTGGATCTGCTCTAGATGCAAAAGAAATAGTTTTTAAAATCTCTTTATATGTATGTTAGAAGTCAGCCATTTTTTTTGAACGCAGGCTTTTCCCAACTCATGACATCTCATGATTCCGATGTTTACTGACAAAACCAAAATGATGTGTTGGGAGTAAAAGTGGGAAATAAGGAGTTTGCTTCTTCGCCTTCCATAACATTAAATGATACTCATTTCCTTCCCTTTGATATCACAGTCTTTTAGGACTTCAAAACACCCTACAGAAACACTTGCTAGTATCTCTCTGGATTTTTGTCTAGGTTATATATGTTGTTTCAAGGCCTACCCACACCTTTTCCAAACTTTTGTTTTTGTAATAGACATGCATGTGTCATTTCAGAATACCAGAGGACCGGAAAAGTCTGGAGGTTGGCATTTATTTCTTGGATTTTTTTTTTACTGTTCCTTATTGCACTAGATCATGCTTTTTCTCTGGTAGTTGTGCTTCCCTCATGCTGGGGGGGCACGAAACCAAGACTTGAGAATTATAGGAAACCTTGCCAGGGGTTTTTACCTTTTTTCTAATAAAGAACCTCCAGAATTTAATCATGTTCTGTGCACTGCCTGATCTGCTCTCTCAAAAAAAGACCTTATTTCTATTACTGTTTCAGGAGCTACCAGTGTGGTGCTAGTTGACTGACATTTGAAAGAGACACGCTTTTGCATTAAGTATAAATAACTTATTTCAGAATAGGAGGTTTTCATTGTATTCTAAGTGGTCTGAGCAGCAGCTGTTCTCAAATATCTTGGATTTTCTGATATCAGGGTTTCATGAAAGGTTGTCTTTTGCTTACTTAGCCTGGACGTTTCTTTTGTTCTCTCTTCTGGACCTCTGAATTGTATGTATAGTTTCTGTGTTACTTAGAAAGTTGTCCTTGGCCATATTTTGCAAACTTTGTGTAGCTACTGCTGTCTCTTTGTGTATTTTGCCACTGAGACATAGATTAATGATAAAGTACTTCCATGCTGTCCCTGTTTGCAGTGCTCTTGGTGTAGACCTCCAGACCTCAAAGTCTGGTAGAACAGCCTTTTAGTGGGGGTTCTTATCTATCTCTGTGCACAGAGTTCCACTTGCTAGTACAGAGTAGAAGGTCTCTGGATGGTCCTTTGGCTTAAAGCAAGTGTAGTGCTCTGTGGATTGCATGTAGTGAAAAATCTATCTGCTAATTCAGATCTAAAAGTATGAGATTGCTGCTAAAAGAATAGGATCTGGGTTTGATACAGAATGAGCAATACTGCTTTCATTACTTTATATTTTTTGTTTCAGTTGTTAGAAAGAGTATCTAGAAGACACTAGCTTGTGTCAAGATCATAAAGGACAAAATTTTGATCCTGCTTTGAATGAGAATTTGGACCAGATGGCATTGTTTAGGTTGAAAAGGACTTTTGGGGACTACGGTTCTGCTGTTATGGCTGACAAAATGTTAATACTGAAACAGGCTCACCTGGCTCTTATGCATGAGGAGCAAGGTTGCCAGAAGAGGAGTCTGTGACAGCCTCTCAGAAAGTGATGTTTATTGGAAGATAATAACTGTTATTTGAGCCGCTATTAGGGCATGCTAATTTAAATACAACTTCCAACAGTTGCTGACAAGACAATGGAAATTGGTAATGGACATAAAACCTCTCAAATTCTGAGTCATAATGTAACCTACAATGCTGTTGTGTTACATGGGAGAGCCTACTGCATTTGTTTTTTCATAATTAGTGTTTTTAGCAGAGATGGAGACTTCCTGGATATTGCAAAGGGGGCCTGACTGTTACTTTTTCCTTCTCTGCAGGCGAATAAATGTAGGAACTCGCTTTCAAGCAGAAATCCCATCACTCCAGGACAGGTCTCTGGCAGAAGCTGATGAGCATAAAGCAGAGCTGGTGTGGCAGCCATGGGGTGACCTGGAAACCAACAAAGACACCCAAGAGAACGGTAAGAAGGTGGAAGGCTGGTAAATAGGACTTGAATTGTCACAGTGGTTTTAGGGGTAACCACAGATCTACTGTAGGCACAATTTGAAATCTCTGAGCTGCCAGTCAAATTACATGTTTAAATGATCTTGGAAACAATTTTAGGAGTAAAACTTGTTTATCAGGTTGCATGTGTGGGGAAGGGGGAGGTTGGTAGGACTGTGGGTTTTTTGTTGTTGTTGACAGAAAACTGGGACCATTTGTTTCTAGTCAGGTAAAGAACAGCCTTTTGCTCAGTGAAGCTTAATTGTTTTTGTTAACATTTGAAAGCCACATACACTTCTGTCTTTTTGAGGGATGTTCTAGACATAATAGTATTTTGGAAAAATACTAGTGGCAGACTAGTAGCAGGCTTGGGGAGCTGTCTGCTTTTCTTGCACATGGGTTGTGGCCTGTATAAATCCCGAAGAGAAGACAAAGTGGGCAGGCTTGGAAGAAATCTTTCTGATTAGAGAGAAAAAAGGGTATTGTGAAATGGAAACTCACAATTTAAGAGGGTATTCAAGAAATCGCTGAGATGAAGGGAGGTGGGAAGATGTTATTGGAGGGGGGAGATTTGCAAGAAACTCTGTGTCTAAGCAGTACGGCATGACCTTGCAGTCTAATGAGTTCTTGGGTCCAAATTTGACCCACATAAATTTGCAAGGACATTGAGCTTCTCTGAAAGTTTTACTTTTTGTTATGTCTAGTCCTCCTTCAAAAGAGCTAATTAATCATGGAAATCTATAGGAAAGTTCATTTTAATCTTCTTATCTGAAATTTTTTGTACTCCTCTGGAAATAGTGGAAAACCTGCTAGCTGCTGCCTGTTCGAGCATTTTTCCTGGGGCTGGAACCAACCAGGAGCTGGTGTTGCATTTCTTACATGAAGCAAAGGGAAGCATTCTGGTGAGTCTTCCCAGCTGTTCAACTGAGAGTGGTCAAATTATGTTTAGGAAGGTCAGATAACCTTCCACTCCTGAGAGGAAAGCCTTGCAAACTCTTTGCAATGCATGTGGCTTCCACTGGTCAGTGTCCCTTGGATGTCCCTAAAGTGGGTTCTCTCTGATGTACAGTGCCATGTTCACTTACTATCTTCTATATTTCCAACTTTGACATGTTTGGCTTTTTAACAAATGCACTGAGAGTCTACCAGGGTGATTGAGCTGAGACTGATAAATGAGTCTTAAATGTTGTCTTCCTGGGAAGATTACCATGTTGGAAGGAAAAATAAGAGGCTGGAGCTGAAGCTGAGACAGAACGCAATGTCTTGCTCCTTTTTGTTTTGGCAGATCCATTTAACTTCTCTGTGTCCGTAGAAGGGCTGTGCTGCTACTTTTTTTTATCAGTATTGTAAGACATGATACACTTTTATTATTGCGCTTTGACACTCCTGGGAGTGGTCAGGAGTATCCCACACTTTTGCCTGACTGCTTGTTTCTTGTCCCCTTGCACTGAATTTGTGATACTGCATTTACCTGTATGGAGAAGAGTACAAATACAAAGTGGATTGTGTGTGTGTTGGGTTTCTGCCAGCCCACATTATGAATGCCGTTGCTGGCATTAGGGAGGAGCAGGACTGGCTCTGGCATGAGGAGCTCATTGTTCAGATGGTTTACACTGCCAGTGGAAGCATGACTGTTGTCACCTTCCTACTAACTTTGAAAGCACTTCCAGTTTAAATACAAATGAAAAAGCAGCTTGAGACGTTGGGGGTGGGGTTGTTTGGGTGTGCAGAATCTGTCAGTCATGTGACTGCTGTTCTATTTTGAATTACTGCTTCGTTAAGTGAGATCAGATCACAGTGACTTGGATGTGTAAGGCAGGCATCATTTAGGCAGCGTTTTTAGATGTGAGTGTGTAATAGAGGCCTTTGGTTAATGAGAGGAAACTGCTGCATGGTCTCTGTCTATGGAATTAGCGCTCTCCCAGTACTGTGGTGATCGCATCAATTCACAGATGTGAAGAAGTGACAAGAATGTACCACTTGCCTGTGGTACCCAAGAATAGTCAAGGATAGTCAAGAATGTGATTTTTAAAGTTGTCTCAGCTGTTAAACTGTGCTGTGGTTCTTTTCAGTTAGCTTGCCAAAAAAAAAAGGAGGATTAACAGTTGCCTGATATTTGTTTTTAATACCCCAAACATTAAATTCATTATTTTACTCGTATTTATCTTAGGAAGCTCTGACCAAACTGCTGTTGAACAGGCCAGTGCGACCACCTACCCACCCTTTGGCAGATTATCACTACACAGGTTTGTTAACTGAATAACTCCATGCTGCCTGCTTATCATACAGGAATTTTATAATTATTTTCTGATTTTTTTGAGGAACTCTGTAACATTACAATAAAAGACCACTCCTCTCCCATAAATCAAATGATGACATGCCAGAAATTCTGCCTGTGCAAATCATGACACTTATAAGAAACACCGCATCCTTCTGAACATGTGCATGTGTGTGTTGGCATATTGTATGTGTTCTGGTTTCCTTAATGGGGAAAAGGGAATGCATTCCCTTGCACTGAGCCACAGAGAATGCAGAAAGATAGAAAGAAAAGCTGTGATTGCCTTAGAATCACAGCCTGTCTGGCATGAGTTTCCAGGGTAGCGTTAAACAGGGGTTTTATGATGAAGAACTTTCAAGCTTGCTGAAGAAGCCTCAGCCAGCTCTTGATGCCTGTCAGTGTTTCAGCAAAATTTAAATGCCATAAACTGCCTTCGTAGTCTTTCACCTAATTAGTAAGTAGTCAGCTCTGTGACACCAGTTTCAGTGATGGAGAGTAACCTGAGCCACCTGAAAGACCTGATCTAAGGTGGTAAAGCATAGAAATTGCATTTCTTCAGTATTACACACTACTGCAATGGTTGCCAAATATTACTTGATTAATATCTAAAAGGAAGGAAGGAGTTAAAAAATGTGTTTATTATTTAGAGGCAAGGAATAGCTGAGGAATATTTGAGATGTAATAAATCTTCAAGTACAGTGGATTGCTGCTGAAAGAGAAGATCCTGTTCTCCTGCCCCACCATTTCCCTTCTATAAAATCTAGTGCCTGGGCCACCACAAAGTGTGTCTATTCACATTGCTGTTTGGTTGGGCAACATCTTAGTTCATCTAATTGAGTGGTTTTTCAAGCTGAACTGAGTTAACCTGTGGTGATGAGCATTAGATCTAACACAAGGGAATTAACGAGAGGAAAGCTGAGGTGGAGTAGTAGGGGAGGATTTAACAGCAGTCTGCAGTTTTACTGGAGTAGGAGTGAGGAGAGACTGCACTCTTAGATGTATGTATTAGTCTTACTTAAAGCAAACAGATCATTTGAAATAGCATGGGCTTCCACTACAACTTTTTTTTTTTTTACCTGCAGGATCAGACAAGTGGAAAGTTGCGGAAAAAAAGTTATTCAACAAAGGCATTGCAATCTACAAGAAAGACTTTTTCTTAGTCCAAAAGCTTGTAAGTAAATTTTTTTTTATTTTAAATTACAGCAACTATACATTCTTACATTTATTAAGCATTTCATATAGGAAGTTCAATCTTGATTTTTCTGAAACCTCAGTTTTAAGCACCAAGTCCAGCACTCAGAAGATTTCAGAGAAATTTTATCATCCAGCACAGCGTAAAATCTCAGTAGAAAGCTAGAACAGTAGTGTTCCTTTCACTGTTGTTGTTTACTTAACCTTGGTACTTGCTGCATTACTTCCATTAGTCCGTGCCACAGATAACTCCTCTGCAGGGCATATTTATAGAGCGCTGGTCATGTTTGGCTTAAATGGCTTGCCTGTGAAACTAAATAGAAACATATCCTTGCTACTGATGGAAAGCACCAGAGGATGTGTGAATGATGTATCCTTTAGGACTTCTCTTTCCAGTTTCTTGTGACAATGATTGTAAAAGTGATCACTCCCATATTTTGATTTGTATGACATGTCAGCAAAGGGGAAATCACTGAGGGAGAGTGCAAAACCAGGAGCTGATACATATTTACTGAATAAACTCCCAAAGGCATTTAAGTTGCAAAAGCTCAGAAGCTAAGAATGTATTCCAAAACTTTCACAAAAATCACGGATACAGAATATGTAGGTGGTTCATGGGTCTGTACTGATAATTGTCTACCACCATATGCCTATGAAATGCATGTGGCCAAAATGGGAAAGGGCTGCAAACCTTCATCTCCATTTTTGGATTGGTATTCTGGTCTGGTCTTCTCTGAAGTGCTACTGGAAAATAAAGCTCCCCCATAAAACTGAAAGGCTGCTCTCAAGCCTGACAGCTCAACTGGAACATTTCAGAGGCCAAGAGGTACATTAAGCTTACAAAGTTTCAGGTTCTGTCACCTTTACATTGACCAGCTTTTCTTTGAAAAGTTGGTCCTGTAGTTCTAAGTGAATAACAATGGCAGCAGGGGATGGGCTATGGGATGAGGCATACAGGCGAGTGTGACACAGGAAAAGAAGGCCTGAGCAGCAGCTGTGGTGGAATGGACATTACTGAGGAAAGAAAATACAAAGTATATTTATTGCACCCTTAATAATTACTTATAAGCCTTCTTATGATCATGTGATCCATTGGACTTTGATGTTTTTTAAACACCAGATAAAAACCAAAACAGTGGCTCAGTGTGTGGAATTCTACTACACATACAAGAAACAGGTGAAAATTGGTCGGAATGGGACCTTAATCTTTGGGGACATTGATGGTGCTAATGAGAGATCTATGAAAGACGAAGCTGAAGTTGACATCAAGGTAATTTCCTAAATTTCTTTTACCTGTTTTGGGCTGTGGTCTGAAGTCTTGAAGTGTTGTCTCATTTGCTGATCAAATCAAAAGCAGAAACAATCTGGCTCCTCTACAGGAGGAGTCCAGACTCATAAACTTGTGTCCTGTATCATATAACAACATTTACTTACAGACACCAAAATTAACAGTTCCTTTATCTTCTGTTGAAGAGTTCCCATAGGTTTGCACGTGTTCTTCCTCTCAGAAGGGACATCTTCAGTGAAGAACAGGGGCATGTGGAGGAGGAGGAAGAGGAGGAAGAAGAGGAGGCAGAGGAAGGGTTAGAAAACAGGAAGAGGAGCGCAGATGCTCTCAGAGATGAACAGACACTACAAGATGGTGTAATGGTAAGTGTTGCATTGTGCATATCGTGCTTTCTATGCCATCTTCACTCTCAAGTAGTTTAGAAAATAGCAGGTGGGCAGTTCCAGGTGTAAAAAGTTTCCACCTCCAACTTCTCCCAGAAGAAAAGACTGGGTTGAAGTAGCTCAGAGTATTAATATCAGCCAGATTCTGTGCTGTGAGGGGAGAACTGGGATGCCTAAGAGAGAAAAATGCAATGTAGTTCTTTGTGGTTGGTGCACACATAAGACCATGATGGGAAATGTCCTGAAAACCTGAAGACTTTCTCATTAAAGAAAACCTTGGTCTGGAGTAAAGGAAGCACAGGAGCTCAGCCTTCTGATGGTGGGTTTAAGTGTCAGTTTGTCTTAACTCTTCCCCTCTCTCCAAAGGCCAGTGATGGCAATATGAGGAGTCAAGAGGCAACTGTCACAGGCAGAATTGGAAGGAAGCCGAGGGAGACAACCATGAAGCCTCGAAAGCTTATTACTGCTCCAGTGCAGAGGAAGAAGCGGAAACAGAAGATAAAATCAGATGCTACCAGTAAAACTCAAAACACAGAAAACACATTTCCATGTAAAAAATGTGGCAGGTAAGAGCAACTCTGCTTCCAGCAATAGTCACAGAATCACTGTAGGGCATCTCCTGTGGAAGCTTTTTCTCAAATGAGCTTTTCATCTTTCTATTTAGGCCAGAGATATTGGCAATAATTTTAATGACTTACTGCCCCACTAATACTTGCAAATTACACACTGTTTTTCCTCAAATGGAATAAGACACTACCTGCATTTCAGCTCTGTACAGTGTTTGGTATTAAGCTGTACTTTCAAGCAGCTGCTGTATTGCCGCACTGTAACACTTGCATTTTTGTAATGAGTAGTTTCTATGTATTTGTTGGATCACAAATTAAAAACGTGGTACAGACTTGAGAACAGTGGTATAGAAATGTAAGATACTACCACTGTTACAGAACCAGGGATTGGGCCAGTAGGTACATAGCTCATCTAGTTAAATATGCACTCATCTTTGGTGGACGTAAAATATCTTTCTTTCTTCACACAGTTTTAGTAGTTTTTATAGGTTTGTTGCCAACAGAATCATAACTGTCGTTCAGTTTACTACATAAATTGCTCATGTTTAAAACAGGAGAGTCTTGTAACACCAGTGGTTATCTCTTTATTTTAAAAAGACAGCAAGCTAGAGGATGGCAAGAAAATGCAATCTGTCCAGGTACCTCACCAGGGCTGTGGCTGATTCCTGCTGTGGCTGGGACTTTCCTGAAGGCATCCTGTCTGTGTGCCCTCAGGACATTGAAAAAGGCAGTGCTGTAAGAGGTCAGGCAGTTAGGATTTGGTCTTGGCCTCTGACAAAGGACAATCAGGAAAGGATTCTGAATGGTGTGTAATCTTTTCTTGTGGCATTCGCTGCAAAATCCAAATAGTTGATGGCAAAAGATGGAGGAATAGATCATAGAAGTGCAAAGTCAGGAGGAAAAAGCTCAAGTGTTTCTAGCTTTGTGCACAAGGCTCAGGAGGGGCACTGGGCCACCATTTGCCTCCATGCTTGTATTTTTGCAGCACAGGGGAATGCCTGAAAACCAGAGCCGTGTTAAGTAGCATGTGTGTAATTCTGATACCAGCACTGCACCTCTGAATTGAGGGCTGAATGCAAAATAAGAGGAAATAGCCATATTAAGAAACGAAGCAAGTGGTTTGAGGGGGCTCAGGATTTCCTGCTGGCATTCCACCTCGTGCTGGCATGCCGAGTCTGCAGCGGTGTTTGCTGTGGATGCTCTATTGCAATGGCAGTGTGAGCTCCGGTGCTGAAGCTCACAAACTTGAGGCTGGAGCAGCAGAAGCTCTTTTGGAGAAGTAATAGGAGAGACCAGCGCTAATGTACACGTGTGCCTTCCTCAGGGTGTTCTACAAGGTGAAGAGCCGCAGCGCTCACATGAAAAGCCACGCGGAGCAGGAAAAGAAGGCGGCTGCGCTGAGGCAGCAAGAGAAGGAGGCGGCGGCAGCGGCAGCAGCCGGAGCCAGGCCCGGCAGGAAGAGAGCAGCGAGAGTGGGAGCAGCAGCAGTGGGAGCAGCAGTGCGAGCTCGGATGAAGATGGAGAAATATAGCGGCTGACCAGAAGTGGAGGGAGTAGTAAGGCTGGACCCAACCTCCCTCTTGGTGGTCTGACTTCTTTTGCTTGCACTTTCTTACCTGAACCATCAGGTCTCGGTTTCAGTGCTGCCATTTCCTCATGCCAGATGTTCCACTTCACCTTGCCAGTACTGACCAAGCCAGAATGGTGGATAACTTGGATTTTTTTTTTTTTTTAAGACTAATAAGATTTCTATTCTATTTATAATGATACCCAAGGTACATAATAGAACAATGTCACCTGCAGTGGAAGTGAGTTCTCTCAGGTCAGTCAGACCTTTCTTTTTGTTCTTGTCAGGAATCATGGTAACAGGACTCTTGAATATAAAGGTTTCCAGACCAGCGCAAGAAAATGAAACTCTACTCTGAGCTAAGTGTATCCAGTTACTGTGACACTGGTAACTTCTAGATGTTTCCTTTCTCAGTGAGTTCTCCTTCCTGTTATGCTTTCCTGCCTTTCTTTCTGAGCAATTATTCAGGCAACCAACAAATTTTGTGGAAAGATAGTGTGCACTTTTGACCTCTGTTTCACAAAAACGAAAAGTGGGATAAGCAAGACACTCTTCTTCCTTTTGAGAGGAAGTTTTATTTTTCAAGCAGAAGCCTGAGGTCGTTTCTTTCATGGCATTAAGAATGCAGCAATGGATATAAAAATACCCTGTGGAATTAGAGTAGCCACAGGCCTTGCGGGTTGTCTCATCTTGGAAAACAAAATAATATGCCTTTGATTAACCTTAAGGAAAGTAGTCTGGGCTTCACAAGTGCAATTTGAAATGAAAACTGCTGGGTTTGTCTTTGCATAAATGGGAGCAAGTTTGTTTAGTGAAAATGAACCCAGGTTTTGTGCACTGGAGTGTGTGCACTCAGAGATGGGAGGAATGGACTCTCATCTCCAGCAGTGATGCCTCTGTGAATGTTTTTTAACTCTCAGTATCCATTTCTGTCTTGTGGCATCCCTCATTTACTTCTTGAAATTGCCATCATCAAGAGCTTTTATGATGGGGCCCTAGTTTCCCAAATACTTCCTGTCAGGCAGTATGTACGTGCAGGAGAAGCTTGTCACCTATTTACACGCCAGTGGCTGGGCAGCACTGCCTGCTGGGTTGTCCTGCTGTGAGTCGTGCTCTTTGCTGAAAGGCTGACTCTTCCTTCAGAACCGACACAAGCTAATAGCCAAAAAGTCTAGCCACCAAAAGCTTCTGGTGAAAGAGAGTTAAGAAGTAGTAAAGTGGTCCAGGTGACAGATGTTAGATTGCACAGGATTGTTCTTTTAGCCCACGTTTATCATTACTGTGTAAGGATGCAGAGAATCGGATCACTTCCTTGTGCTTCATGACTGGTTGATCCCAGCCTGTACCCTGTCTGCCCAGCTCCCTCCCTGCAGCCAGTCCTTGGAGCAGCACTGATCCCCAGCTTCCTGGGTGCTGGCACTGTGTCGTACTGGCAGCACCGAAGGAGCCCATAGCTCCTGCATTCCTGAGCAGGGATCCAAGAGACATTGTTGGATGTGAACCACAGACTGCCCGACTGGCAGATTTTTTTAAAAAAATCTTGACCCTTCAAGCTGCTAGATAAATTCCTGATTATCTATGGAAAGTGGCTTTAACTCCAACATGCCATCTGGCAGTCTTCCTGCCCCGTGGTTTTATGCAACCATGATGGCTTCACTCATTTGTTTGGGAGGCTCGTGTTGTACCATGTTTGCTTTGACATATCTATGCCTTTGCATAGAATCCTTTTTCTTAATAGCAGAAACAGTTCCTACTCTTACAAAATCAGTAGGAGTATCATGAGGACTGCACTTTTTGCAATGTTGACATTTTGCCTGTAAGTGTTCAATTTTCTGCCAAGGTTGTATTTTTCATTCCTATCAAAATTGGGTTTCCTTTCAGCATTTGGATGACTGTTTCATGCATGGGTCTTGCTGACTAACTAGGCTGTGGAAGCAGATGGCACTTCATGAACTGTTAAAATCATTCAAAAACTACATAGAACTAAAAGCTGCTAATCTTTAAAAAGAAGCTTAAGCAAATCAGTCTTCCTGTTAAGAGTTTCAGTGTTGATTTTTCTCTCTTTTTATTTTATAAATTGGAGAAAATGCTTTTCTGCCATTATCCTAGGGCCTTTGGGGAGAACAGAAGCTTTAGCACACTGTGCCAGGATAGAGACTAGGTGAAGCAGCTGGACCTCATGGCCCACTTATAGTTCTGGAATTAATTCCAGTAAAAAAAAGTGATGCAAATAAACAAAGTCCTGAAGTATGTTTCTGGGAAGTTGCCAGATGCTGAGAACTTCAGGGCAACAGGTCAGAAACAAGCAGGGGTTGTGAGTGTATCTAAATAGGATTTAAAGTAATGTAGATATTCTACACTATAGATGTAGAACCTGATCCTGTTGTAAGGGATGTATTTGTCTGGAATACCTGTGCTGCAGCAGGTATATAACATAACATAGAAACGGAGGTGGAACTCACACACATTGAGAAACATGGCAAAAAATTAATATTTTTTAGATTGGGGAGGAGATGTGATTAAACTTAAGTTAATCAAAGTGACTTAGGAAAATGCTGTTACTGTTCTTGCTAAAGCAGTACAAAATCAATCAGTGTAATCTCTTAGGGAAAACCAGAAGCTGTTCATATTGGGACAAACCAAAGTTCTGTCTAGCTTCAGGTCTTGTTTACAACAGTGATCAGGAGCAGTTGCTCAGGAAAAAGTGAGGGTCAGGATGAACTAGGTGTAGTTCCAGCTAGAAAACAGGATGCTAAGCTAGAAGAATTTATGTCTGTTCTCTGGTAAGGTGAATCTGCAAAGAGTTTTGTGCTGAAATGAACTGGTCTCCTTATGGGCAGAAAATCAGGGTATTTCCCTGCCTTTTACCGTCCCTGTACGTCACCTGCATTTACTTTTTTATTTTTTTTTAGTGTCTGGAAGTCCGCCTGGGTGATAATGAGCAAACATTTAGTCATGGCCCTTATGAGTTTTCAAAATTGAAGTAGTTTTAGCTAAGGCATAACAAACTATGGTGACAAACAACTGATCAAATAAAATGATCAGCTGAATCCTTTCAAGAACAAAGATTTAGGGAGCAAATCATGGGATTGCATTAAGTACTAATTCTTTCAGATATGATGATGCATGAATGCAAGCATTGTTATAGTCTTCCAAAGACCAGATCTTTCACTGATTTTTCCCTGTTTTAGGAAACGGATATAATTTTTCCTCTGATCGGGGACAAAGCATTGAGGTGCTGATAAGGATAAACTGGAGATTTTCTTTACTTGCACAAAAATGTTGTGTATATTACACACTGATTCCAGCACTGGTTGTTCCTCTCCCACCCTGCTGCAGTATAAGAGAACAGCAAGACTGTACACAGTGAGGTCTGTCACTGGGAGAAAATCAGAAAAGGGCTTTTTCTGAGGATAACCTCTTCAACAGCTGTGGGTTACCATGGCTGACCACAATCAGATAAATGTTCCAAGTAAGTGCCATCAAGTTGGAATGTTTCTGAGCAGATTTACAAATTGCTAGTAGCCACCAGAAGACCTCTTTTCTGTCATGGTAATAAGGAAAACTATTCCTCCAAGTATCATCTTAAAAAACAAACCAGCAAAACCAAACCTGCTGCCCACTTGCTTACAGTAGGAGTTTGGAATTGATCCTACATTTGAATTAGATCCTGCCTAGTAGCAAAACTTGGCAGAGAATTGTTTAAAAAAACTTCAAAAGCAAAACCCCAAAACCAACCCAATTTCTGTGGACAAAGCATTTGAACAATTTGAATTTGTCTAATCTGGAGTGAGTCATGTTCCTACTCTTGGTAGGGGGAAAATAACTTGAGTGGCTCTTTACTGCAGTACAGTGTTAAATTAAGGCTGTGTTGTTCCAGTTAGGGTTTAAAAAAGCCCACACCAAACAAGCAAACTTCTTGTCTGTGTTCTGTTGATATATCTGTTTTAAAACTCCATGGTCATTATTTTCCATCATTTGAAGGCCTATTGATTGGTCCCCATTTAGTGTAAGGGTTTGCTGCTAATTTAGAAAAGGGCAGTAAAAGCTCAGTCATTAAGTCTGAAGAAGGTGTCCCTTTGCTTTAGCTCTTTCTATGGGAACAAATACAAGATTTATAGACTGCGATTCTGTAAATGTGTGCTAATAGATTTGCCTTTTACAGTGCAAGATCAGGCTCCAGGTGGCTGTATTTCAAAACCATTACCTGAGTCCCGATACCAGCATTGGGCATCACAGAGATGCAGCGACAGGTCACGTTTTGCCCTGGTCAGGTACTTCTGCCTGTTACAAATAAATTCAATCTGTCAGGTTTGTGATCTGCATGGGATAGCATCTGATTTTTTTAAGACTCTGTGTGTGTATGTAATTACTAGATAGGTGCATGCACTTGTGATGCATATCTGATACAGCTGCAGGTGTTTTGCTGCAAGAACCACTCTGCATTTTATTTATTTTGTGTTTGTCCATTTACTGATACAGATAATGGTATCTGAGAGAACTCAGCTCTCTAAGTTGAAGGCCTACAGAATCTCACTCAGCTGTGCAGGACTGTGGCATTTTGCTGGCTAGGAACAGGTAGGAATGGAGCTGCTTAAAGGTAGGGCAGAGACAGAAATTCAAAAGCTTAAAGGTAACTCATCTGTGAAATCCCATGGTAGACAATGTCCAAATTAGCTAAAAATAATCTCTGATTTGTCAAACTGAGACTTTTGATTATTTTTATCACTGCAACAAGCTTAAATTAAAATCAACATTTAAAAAAAGTGTTTCCTAAACCACTCTGAGCAGTTACGCACTTCTTAATTCTCTTTCAGGCAGTGGACTAGAAAGTTTCTATAGATACATATCTTATTTTAAAGAAATGGGAGTAGGGAGGACTGTTTGCCATAGGAGTCTTCTCTGCTTTCATACAATGGCACTTTTAGTCCAATGCTTACGTCTGCCAGAAACCTTCTTCTAATCCACATTTTCCCACACAAACTTTCTCCCTGCTTTATCTTCTGATCTATGTCTGGAAGTTTATAAAGCTTTAAAGAGACAGAGAAGTAGAGTCTACAGATTATGTTTGATTTCTGTGGGGGTGAGTTTCTATGTAAATTTGTCACTTGGGTTCAGCTGCTTTACTCGCCCTCCTTCTCTCCTGTGTCATATGTTAGGAAGACACAAACTTTGAATTCCCAGCTGTCTAAGGATCTTTCTTTCCAAGACTAAGATTCCACTGACAGCTGAGCCTGAGAAAAAAACCCTAACTTCTCCAGATTAGATGACAATATATATTTTTATAGAAATGTAATTGTGTATTTTAAAAAGTTTCCTGCAGCTTCACCACATGTATTTTCCCCCTTGTAGTTCAGATTTGATATGAACTTTTTTTTGTGTTCACTCTTTTTATGTTCTGTTTTTAAATTTGTAGTCAAAGCTTTGGTGTACTGTACAGGAGCAGTCTGCCTTTGTAATTACTGTATAAATGCTTTATAATAAAGTATATTACTTTTATTTTAACAAGTGAGCAGACACTTCCTTTTGTGTGTCTGCTGCCTAGGGCACCTTTTAAAAGACTGTTATGTGTTTAAAATGTACATATAGAAATATATTTACCTGTTGCTGTACAGTTGTCATAGACTGGACTGAATTTATTTTTTGTGTGCTTTTTTATAAAATATTAATACACTAAAGGAAATCTTGCTGATGTGATTGTAATGTACTATGTAACTTATTTACTTAATATCCTCCATATATCTAAAATACCTTTTATTAAAAGAGGTTTAAAAAATAGTTTCCTAGCTGAGTTTTTTGATGGTATGAGGGAGTGTCTGGGGGGCTCAGGCTGTTTGTGGTGCTGAGGAAGCTGTTACAAGTCCTCCTAGCCAGGCTGCTCTCTCATGGTATTCGCCTGTGTTTTTCATAGCAACCCTCGAGGCTGTTTCTCAGTTTAAACCTCTCCCCTCAAATGCACTTGCCTGCAATGTGTTTTAAGTCTTATATCCAAGAAAATAAGTGGCAGATGTGGCTCCATTACTTTTCAGAAGTGTTGATGGCGTGTGTGTTCCACTTGAAGCCGAGCACCCTTGCAGAAAGCCAAAACAACCTTGGTAGTGTGCTGGAGATCGATGGGGAATAGTTCTGGGTCTGCTGTGCTGTAAGTAAGGCCGGTGGGGTTCTTAAAGACCCTTGTCTGTTACCTGAATCTAAGGGGGTTTTTAAACCTGTTTTGTTACACAGCACTTATTTTTGTTCCCTCTGGCAGTAGCTGGATCTCTTGCTGTGGATTTTAAATATCTACATGTTTCCATCCATCCTCAGAACACTTTCCTTATGTTTTGGTACTTAATTGTTTTTAGTTATCTAAGCTACATAGGTATTTCTCACACCTATGAGCATAACATCTTTAAAAGCTGCAAATGTTTTGCTGCACAAAGCAGGTGGCAGGAACATGTACCAGTGCCTGACTGGCCTCCTGTGAGATCACAGTGAGAATCTAAGGCAGCACACCTTTATTTTTAGCTGTTATTTTTGGTTTATTTAATTTATGCTGACGGTTTCATTTCAGCGTTCTTAGCAAAGCTGGCAGGAGAAAGACTCGGCCCAAGACATGAAAACGCTCATTTTTTCAGCTCAGCATAGAAGTCCTTGCTTTGGCTCAGTCCTGTGCCTGTGGCCATTAATCAGCAATAGCGTTTGGAGAAGTAAGTGGTTTTTTCCTTGGTGTGCAGAAGAGAAAGGGAACACTGAGGCCTTTGCTTGAGTTAATAGATCAGGACTTTAAGGCTTTAAATAAATGAGTTTGCCTTCCCATCAAAGCCAGCTGGCAAAAGTGCTAAAGTTTAGTACTTGGTAATAAAACTGTGAAGCCGTGCAAACAAACTTTGGACAATCAAAAAAGTCCCCAAGTTTTTGGCTTTTGGTTTCCATCTTGTTTTAACTGGCAGATCTAAGCCCAAGATTCTGCAAGTTATTTCAGTTACTGAAAGAGACCTTATAAAGCATTTTAGTGATCAGTAAGCTTTGAATTAGTGGTATTGTGAGGAATTCTGCAGCAGCTCCCTATATGTTTTTTAAATAGCATTACACCATCACTGTAGGATGCTGCTCTTGTCATTGAGACGGGCTGTGGTGTAGAAAGTGTTTTCTTTATGTCAGAGTTTTGAAATTACATTTAAGTGACATGGTCTACTGAAGGCCAAAGTTTTCTATGAGAGAAGCCTTCCCTTATCTGTGTTTAATGGAACTGATAGTATATTGCTGTTAACAGACTTAAAATTCAAAGTGAATTAGTAATTTTGTACTGAAGAAAGAGTAGCCATTTCTTTTACTTATTTGGATATTTTTTTCCTATATAGCAATAGTAGACTTTTCTCTTAGGACCTAAGAACAAATTCTGACAACCAGTGTCTTAAAAGATTGAAAAATATTTATGTATCAGATGACAATAATCACAATATATCAGCATTTTTAAAGTCTTAAGTTATTTTCTATTCTAAAATAGAGAGGCAATAAGGAACAGCATTTACATGCTATCATACTACAAATACATTGCTCCCTGAGCAGCTAGGAAAGTTTAATGAGAACAAAATTGAATTTCTGAACACTCTTCACAAGCTGAATTACTTCATTACACAACAGCCAAAGACGTTTGTATAAAATAAGGTTATATTATTTTTAAACCAAGTTTCACAGAATAACATTTATAAACATAGGCCTAAATAATTTAAACACAGCAAATTTAACAGCTTTTCATGCTACAAAATTACGTATACAAAAGATAGCCAAGGGGGATGTTAAAAGTGCTCTCTTGCTTGAAGATTTTTCTAGATGAGCCTACTTCTAGTGTAACCTGAGTCATCTGCTGGTTCTCAGGTCTCTTCTCTTATTTTTCCAGCAGTTCTCAATAATCACTGCATATATCAGCTCTTTAAAGACAGGGCACCGTGCCAACAAGCAAGCAAAAAATTTAGCTCTTTCCTACTACTACTTTAATTTTAGGATATTTCTCTAAGGAATAAAGTGGATGCTACTCCTCCGTAAATTCACTGGGAAAAGCAGAATTCCACATGGCTTGCATGTTTTACATGGGTACTCTTTTCATCCATGAATAATAATGTGCTTACTACTTCCTTGGATGTGGTGTGCTAGGGAAGAGCAAAGTGTACCAGTGAAAGCCAGGCCTTGCGGCATCTCCCTCGGACGTCCCTCCGGGCACTCAGGCCGAGTGTCGCTGTCAGCTTATACGTGACAATGTGTAGCACCAGAAATATGCAAAAACCGTCTGTTCTAATTCTACCACCTCTGTATGTCTTCCACCACATCCAGTGCATAATTTTAAAGTGCAAATTTAAAACTTTAGGAAAACTTATTTTGGAGGAGAAAAGGTTGGGGTGGGGGTTGATTTGTTCTTGAGAGTAATCATGACTCACTAGGCAAAGCAAGGTTAAGCTAAAGCTGTCACCCAGCTTCAAGATGAAGCATCTCCTGACAAACAAGACCCACAGTTTATTCTTTTCTTACTGAATTGTCTCCTTGAGACTGACACATAGTTTTTATGAGAAGGGTTTTAAATTATATGCTAATTTATCACAGCTTGAAGGATGAAAGGTGAGGGAAATCTTGTACCTCATGTTGCTGTTATAATTGTGTTGGGACTGGATGTTCCATTCCTTCAATAATTTTTTCTTCTCTTTTGGTGGTGCTTACAATGCAGCCCCCCAAAAAAGAACTATAGAATTTGTGCTGTTAAATGTGTGGAAGGAGCCACTGACAGTGGGCCACACAGTACATCCAGCTCCACCACCATCTACAACAGTTCTTGAACTGATTCCCATAGGTGTAGCCTCCCGTGGTCACTTACAAGAGCCAGGAACTGCTCTTATCCCTCAGGGCTTGTCAATGGAGCTGTGTTTCATTTCAATTGTCACCATGTAGTCAGAACACTAAGTTTCTATTCTGCTCTCAGAATGTCCCAAAACAGCCAAAGTGTAGAGTATTTGCTGTATCTAACATGGCCTTCAGAACTGCACAGATTTAGACCATATATAGATATTAAAAGATCAACCAGCAGGATTTCTTGGCATTGGCCTGTGTTTGTCACTCCCTTTCTCTCCTGTCACATCTCATGTGAGCTAACCCAGCCACACACACCGCACTTGCAGATGTTGTTCTAGGAGAGACCAGGTACAGAGGTTCAACCACTTTTCTTTGTGGCCAAGTGCTAGGACAAGAGCACCACATGGTCTATTCTGAAAATATCTCCAGAGATGAATTTGACATTTCTGTTCGTTGGAAGCATTCAGAAGGCAAGTTTTGTGTCACTCAAGCTCTGGCTCACAGTACCCACCCTTTCCCACACTTCAATTACAGTCGTCAAGGGCACAGAGACCCCCAGCAAACAGGGTCAGTGGGGCTCACATTTCCCACACTCTACTGCCAAAGCACATCCACTTTGCCAAGAGTGGTTGGCTCCAAGTGAACTGAGAGGCTTAGCTCCAGAAGACACCCGTATGAAATGGCTGTTGGCTATAGGCACTCTCTCCCATGGTGCTTCTTGGTCAGTGGTGCCTTTACTAACGATAAAGCGAGGAGAATACTTCTAAAAGAAATAACATACCAATATGAAGTTGTCTGTAAGCTAAATCCAGTGAACTAGTTAACTACGAAACTAGTTTCTGGTCAAGAGAACAGTTACCTGGAAATGGTTTGTGCTGAGTGAAGAATGTCCACGGTTTTTGCTATTGTGCTCGACCTTCTTTTTAGTAACAGATCTAAATCAAACTCGAACCTCATCAGCAATTGCCAATTTAAACTGGAATGCTTTAGAATTCCTCTAAAAATCACAGGTTAAGTAGCAATATATTGAAACTAAACCGTGATTGTCTTGTAATCATCTACTTCATAGTGCACTTAGAAATTGATTAGAGAGATAATATCTTCTACTACAATTATACCTGGAACTTGAGATCAGTACCACTGTTGCCTGGGCCAATTCTACCTTTTCTTCTCTGACCATGACTTCCAAGATTTCTACTCCTGCCATACCTTCACAAACAAGGTAATTAAGAGTGGTGTTCTGCCTCCACTCCTTCAATGTCTGGGCTGGAACCAACAGGTTCACTTGTCACCACTTGAATTTAAACAAAGATGGTACCACAAATAGAAGAAAAGCTTGGTAAAAAAAACAAAAAGGAGCTGCAGAAAAATCTACTCAGATGACTCAATCTATTCTTCAAAGAGAAGAATTTAAACCACACTACTGGCATCCCACAGTGCAATCGTGCACATCTTCACCATTGTTTAATACTTTTCACTAGAAATAGTCATATAAGAACTGGTTATTCTGCAATATAGCATATTTAGTATCTCTTCAATACTTTTTTCCCAATGCCCGCTTTCCATCTCATCTCATCTCACCTTCCCCACTGACTACGTACACTTTCTCTCACTGCTTACACCTGTGCTTTTGCTTACACTTGTACTTTCATAAAAAAATAAGTATCCCCAAGGCAAACCTTTCTGTCCTCAAGCTCAGGTCTTCTGTTCACTGTTTGTTTCTCTGTTAGTATCAGCCTACTTAGTTATAGGAAGATTCCAGAGCTGAGAAGGATTATCTCCACCAGTGACCCAGTCCAAACCCAGGAACCAGCTGCAGGCTAATAGGCCACATATTCCAATCCAAAGTAATTTCTTAGTTAGAGATGAAAAAAAGAGCTAGCAGATATTTTAGTCTCACTGAAACCATGCAAAGAATTCCCATTGCCTCTTAATAAATAAATATAAATAAATTA